GTAGTGTGTCGATAAAAGAGTACCAAGCTTGCTTGGGGACTTAAATACTGGGGGTCTCTCTTCAGACTGACCACCTGATCGGGACATCTGGTCATGCACCTCAGCGCACAATGGTCACTTACACTGGGATGTGCACAGTAGGCCCTGACCCTCATGGGTTGTTGCACCACTGAGTTTGAGTTTATTACTATTTATTCAAAAATTAAATTTAATTATTCTAATAAAATAGTATAGCAAAAAGAAATCGCATTCTCAGAAATTAGGCCATCCCAGGTAAGATTCGAACTCACGACCTTTGGATTAGAAGTCCAACACGCGCGCGCGCCATTCATTGCGCTACAGGAACACAGCGAGCGATTTTCCTTTCTATATGCGCTGTTGGATTATTATTTTTGTTTTTTACTATTTATTCATTTTTTAATTTTATTAATGAATTAATATTTGAAGAAACTGTATTAATATTAAGTGTTACACACACTACTAGTTTAAAAAATTGTATTTGGACTTGAGTGGATTAATAAAAATCATTTTACTAACGATTGAAAATTTGAACAAGATATATATATATATATATATATATATATATATATATATATATATATATATATATATATATATATATATATATATATACCGTAAACCCCGGCGTATAACGCGCACATTTAACACAAAAAGCAAGATCGAAACTTAAGGGTGCACGTTATACGCCGGGTATAAAAACGATAGCTTTAAAAATAACAAAAGAGATGAGCATGAAATTTTTTTTACTTCTTTATGTATCGAAATACTGTTTATTTAAAAGAAATGGCTTACCTTATGAACTAAAAGAGTTATAGTTCTAGAAGAAAGTTATTTTTTCAAAAGTCTGGGATAATACCCTGAATAAATGACTTCAAAACATATAAGAGCAATGTATACTAACATTTCAGATTTCTTCGTAAAAAAGGGGTGCGCGTTATACGGCAAATATACCTAAACATTAAAAAATTAAGCTTGAAAGTATAGGTGCGTATTATACACCAGTGCGCGTTATACGCCAGATTTCACGGTATATAAAGAGAGAGAGAGTGTGAACTAATAGTAGGAATTAAAAAAAAGTAATAATATATTTAAAAAACCATGAAAAAAAGGGTTAGGAAAAGAAAAATTAACTCTAAACATTGTATGACTATTAACACGACTTAACATTTTTAAAATTTATTATTTAAGGGGGTTACCAAGTAATACCATGAATTATTTTGTAATATGTAGCGATGAATTTTTTTCCTTTTTGATTTGCTTTTAAAATTTGCTGTCATTAAAAAAATAATTTGAAAACTAAATAAAATGCGTGACAAACCTATACGGAACTTTATCACTAACCTTCTGAGTCGTCTTTTTTAGGGAAATTTAATTCCCCTACCTATTTCCAATCAGCTCCAAAAAGAGGACAGGATTCCTTGTTATGCAGATTAGATAAAGTATTTAAGTCAAACGGAATAGTAAAGTAAAAAGCATTAGGAGAGAGAGATTGAAGCAGAAAGGTATAATAGTGAAGTTAGAGATTTATTATTGAAGATTTCTATGTGGATAAATTAATCTCAGGAAGAGTTGAGATTCAGTGTGGTAAATATTGATTTATATTTAAAGTCTCATTAAAGCTTTATATTAAGAGTGAGATTAAAGTTAAATGTGTTCAATAGGAATATTATTGAATATAATTCTGGGATCTCTTATCGTGGTAATCTCTGCGTGATCGATATTCTAATTGTTAATTAATTGGATCATTAAATATTTAAGTTAATTTAAAGGAAAGTCCCTTTTAAACCTCATATAGCTAATTTGAATTATTTGTGATTAAAAGTCTTTGATTCTATTTGGGAAAGATAACCAAATGAAGTTATTTATAAAAATGACTACTGGCTCTTATCTGACTCCAAATTATTCTCGTTCTCAAAGTGAGATCCAAGGGGATATTCACAAATGTATTAGTGATTTTTTTCGCGTTTGAAAATTATCACATAAAATTTCCAGCTAGAAAATCACGTGACTCCACCATAGACTTAACCATAAGCTCAAAAATGGAACCATCAACTTAAATGACTGAACATTTTCAGAGCATTAAACTTAAGGTTAAACGGTCGATGCTCCAGTGGTCGGAGAAACCTTATCGTTCTGTAGTGGATTATTATTCGATGAACAGATGATCAAAATTTTCATCAACTCAGCAAGTAAAGTTGAACGAATAAAAATGCCCCACTCTTTACATGTACTGTTAAAGAGAACGAAACACTTTGATTACGATATCTTAATAGATAAACGTGCAAAAAGTCACAAGACACTTTCAAGAGATTTTCGCGGAAGAGTTATTATTCTATGTAATACATTTAAATCTCGTCAAACTCTTATTTAAATTATTTTTAGATAAGCTATAGAAAAGACGATAAGGGATTTGAAAGATAAACATGTAATATTAAGAAAAATTTTTGAGTCGATTCCTACTTAGGTCAGCAAAGAACAATTTTCTTTTAATTACTTTTTGTTAAATAAATACAATTAATATAAATATGTATATACATATGACAGAATCACAATATTAAGTGGCAGAATAGAAAAGGATTTTCCTTACAATTTTCCATTTTCCTTTCCATATAGGGTGGTGGACTATTATTTTTGTTTGTTACTATTTATTCATTAATTAAATTTAATTATTCCGATAAAAAGTATAGTAAAAAGATATCACATTCTCAGAAATTAGGCCATCCCAGGTAAGATTCGAACTCACGACCTTTGGATTAGAAGTCCAACACGCGCGCGCGCCATCCATTTCGCTACAGGGACACAGCAAGCGATTTTCCTTTTTATATATTGGTGTTGTACTACTATTTTTGTTTGTTACTATGCATTCATTTTTTAAATTTAATTAATTAATTAATATTTGAAGAAATGTATTAATATCAAGCGTCACCTACTAAAAATTTAAAAAATGTGTTTGAACTTGAGTGGATGAATATAAAGTATTTTATTAACGATGAAAATCTGAACAAGATATATATATATATATATATATATATATATATGTAGAGAGAGAAATTTGAACTTATAGTAGGAATTGAATTTGTGCAGACAGATGTATTATATAAAATTTTCTATGTACTCTAATGCAGTGTTGCTTCAAATGTGTCCCGCGAAGCTCCGGGGATCCCCAACGCTTTTCTAGGGGATCCGCGAAGATCTCTCACTTAATATGTTAAGATTTCCATCGTTAATAGACTCTGAAAGACCTAGTAAACAGTTGAAAGATATGCCATCCTAGGCAAGATCACTGAATTGTCCCTAATGAAAAGCTTTTCTAGGACATATATTTCGATCAGGAATATTAATCCAGTTAGTATTAAATTAATATTTTGTAATATTTTTCAATTCCTACTATTAGCTCACACTCTCTATATCTATTTATTTATCTTGGTGGAATTTGCAATAGTTAATAAAATACATTTTAAAGCGCTCACTTGAGCTGAAATTTTATACACATGATTATTTTGTATGACAATACAGTAATTTAATTATAATTAACAAATATTAATTGATTATAACTAATTATTCAAAGAATTACAAATACAGCCACGTTGGAATCATTTTTGGCGACTTGTGTCAAAACTTGAAAAGGGTTTTTTCTCACATTTTAAAGCATTCATTTGAACTGAAATTTTATGTACACGATTGTTTGCGATAACAATACGATAATTTAATGATAATTAAAAAAATTAATTACCACTTAATGTTGTGATTCTGTCATTTGTATATACATATTTATATTAATCTTAACTATTTAATAAAAAGTAGCTAAAATAAAATTTTTCTTTGTTGATATATAAGTAGGAATTGACTTAAATTTTTTTTTTTGTATTACTTGTTAATTAGATGTTTATTGCTTACTTAAGGTATCCGGCTACCCTAAACTCATGATTTTTTTTAAAAAATAGGCAATTTTTTTATGATTTTATTTTATAGACCATCTTATTAGCTTTATAAAAAATCTAAGTTTTTTATTTTTATCTACAAATGTTTTAGTAAAAGCAGATGTCATAACTTTACATAAGATGTCCAACTTTAAAATGCGTTTTTCTCGAAATGTGTTTTCTTCGAAAAGCTCAAACGGGGACAGCGATTGCTCAAAAAGCTTTTAAAATAATTTATTGAAATTTTGTGTGTGTGTTCTGTATAACAGTGGAAGTGTTTTAATCTTCAGATTTATTAATCACTGTTTTATTACAAATTTTACAGTTCTTTTTGTAAATATAAACACTTTTTAAAGCAATTTCATATAATAACTAAAATAAAAAGTGCTCTATTTTTCGTAAAAATTAAAATATATCTCATCCTGAAGGTCATTCCAAAGAAGGATAGCAAAGTAATACATCAAAATGGAAATTTTGAGAATTTGTTGATTTACTATTTGTAATGAGCAGGCCCCGTTTATGTAATTTGTTGTCAATTTTTACCCATTTTTTCCCATTTTATTAGAAATAATTTATTTTTCTCTTGTTAATTTTAGCGGTTTTTTTTTCTTAAAATGTACTAAATAAATCTAAAAACCACAAAAAAATCCCCATATCTGCATTTTTTTAAAAAGAAAAGTTGTTGGAAGTAGTTGTACACCTTAAAGGAAAAATAATTAGTAAAAAAGTCTGTGTAAAAAGCAGAGACACTCAATGGAATATTGAGCAACTTTTAAGTCATTCAGCCATGTGTCGGGAATCAGGGAAGTGTGTTCAAAATCTTGGGGGGGGACTGATAAATTAAGGGGGGGGGGTCGCGGCAAATCAAAAGTTTAAGAACCGCTTCTCTAATCAGTTATTTATTTGAAAAGAATGATGCATTTTTACTTTTTCTCGTTGTATTGAGAATTATGATGTTTACACAAAAGCATGACAATCCCATTTAGATAAAAGATCTGTTTTCTTTTCAAGTTTTTCATGCTCATTTTTTTAAAATGCCTGTTAAAAGTAAAAATAAAAAATATTTATAAAAACTATAATTTAAAAGTTACGATTTAAAAAATATATATATATATATATATATATATATATATATATATATATATATATATATATATTAATATTATTTATTTAAAATCTAAATCTTATTCAGATATTCGTTATTATTCAGAATTAAATAATTATTTTTGAATATGGTTTAAATTACTACTAACTTTTGAGTCTATTGTAATAGAATTGTTTAAGATGTTTACAAAGGAATTCACAATTTTGTCCAGTATCTGTTTTATTTCATTTGGATCATATTATTAAATTTTTTTTCCAAAACTTGTCAGATTTGTAAAAAATTTACATTTGTATACTGAAT